CGCGCGCCCGCCCCCGCCACTATGGTGGGACCAGCACCCCACGGAGCTTGGAGAAGGGCGAGGGTCCCCGGCAGGCCCGGACACAGACCCTGTGGGAGAGCCCCAGAAGCAGCTCATGGCAGTCGCAAGTGACAGGGGAGAACCGGTTCCCTGAGGCCACCTGGAACCAAGGAGAGGAGGAGGAGGAGGCCGAGCTCTCCAGCCTGCAGGAGGGGTACGCTGGTGCCCAGGGAGGGCGTAGCAATTCCTTCGAGTATGCTGACGAGGAGGAGGACGATGAAGTCAAGGTGTGAACAGCCATCCCTCCCATCATGGCCCCCTGACAGAGGCACCGGAGTCTTCGCTCTCCTCCCTGTCCCCCACCTTCAGGTGCCAGCATCGCTGGCAGACCCAGCAGGTGACCTCCTTGCCAAGCTGGGGGCACTGGGGGGCAGGAGAGGGGCAGGAGGAGAGCCTGTCTCCTGGGGCACTCCCCTGGGCTGGGCCAGGCTGCTGCGGGGGGCCGGTGAGGACTGTGCATCACAGCGCCAGGCATCGCGGCCCTTCCCCGGCCTCACTGCCGTCAGACACCAAAGGGACATTCCTGTGTGCCAAAGAAACCCCAAACCCCTTCCTACCCCATCCCGTTCTCCCCGGTGCTCTCTCTCCCATCCCTCACCCAGGCCCCACCAGCATCTCCCACCAAAGCCCCCAGCCGCCCTCTGCGCTGGCACGGGTGATACTCCTGGAGATACTCCTGCCAATAGCTCTGGCACGTGGGGACGGGGGTCTCCCCAGTTCCAGCTGGTGCAAGACCTTCCCAGATAGCACATCTATCTACCAGGGGAAGTCAGCTGGGGGCTCAAGGGGCAGGCAAACCCCACAGAGCCGGGCTTTCTTTTTCTTTCTTTTTTTTTCTCCCCCCAAAAAAGCCGTGAGCTCAGTGTTCAGGAGGTGAGAGCACACACAGAGATAATCACAGGGGTCTTTCCACTTGCCTCCTGCTGCTGAGCGTCACTTAGCATGGGTCCATTTCTGATCCCCACCGCCTTGCAGCAAGGAGGGGAGAAACTTCTTGGCTGGCTGGAGACAAAGGCGAGGTTGCCAGGTCACCAAGTTCTGCAGTTAGGGCCCCAAAAATCCCTTCCCTTTCCCCCATCTCAGAACAAGGAGACTCCCACTCTGCAGCCACTTGGTCTGTGCCACCTTTTCTCCACCCTCGCCCCCTCTCCCCATTCCCCATGCACGCACCCCTCTTTCCAGTGCATCCCTTCCCAGGGGTATGAGTGGAGGACAGCTAATGCCCCTCGCCAAGTGGCCCTGGGCAACACGGCTGCCCTGGAACGAGCTGCCCCCCACGCTCCCCTGCATGCAGACTGTCCCTCACAGAAGCGCCTTTGTGCCACGGCATGGAGCCGAGATGCTCAGGGGCTGAGGTCACCGGAGGGACCCTCACAGGACCCCCCTTGTTCTCAGGGACAGGAGGGGGTGTATGATGGGGAGAGATGCTGCGCCATGGCCACAAGGCTCAGCTCCCACACAGCTCACCCACCACACGTCTGCTTCTGGCAGGCAGCTCTTCAGAGCAGAATAAAGAGGCTCTGGCATGCACGCGTGCTGTACATGGGAGTGCCGCTTGCAGTCAGGCAATTGAGGTTATGGGCAAGCCCATCTCCCCCAGCCTCCCCAGGTGTCTACCTTGTGCCAGCCAGCAGCAGCAAACCAGAGCAGGCAGCAGCTTCAAGGAGTCCCTAGCTCTGGCCGCTGGCACCCAGCAGGATCAGCCTTATCACCCCTGCACCCTCTAGAGCAGGGACCCTGGTCCTCAGGATGAGATACCCCCACCCTCCGCTTCCCAGATCGTAACACAGCTCCAGACCAAAGACCCACGTCTGTGGAATATCCTTTCTGCCTCCGCTCTGTATCCCATGCACTTATTATTGTCTTTATTAAAGCAGTTTTGATACTAACTTCTCTTCTGGTGCCTCCCCTCAGCTCCAGCGACCTTATCATCTTCCTTGCTGTGTGTGCTGGTGCCCCAGCCAAAAAATTTCATCCTCTCCACTCTCAGTAGGATTTTCCAGCACCTCTGGGATCCCTGGATTAACTAGCCCAGTACTTTGCTGCTCACCGTGGCTAACACACAAAGCAAGCTCCTATCTACCTGGCCTCACGTAGCACGCAAGAGGGTGCAAAGTTCCCCTCCAGCCTGGCAACAATTCATTTGCAGCCTGAAGCAGACCAGTGCCCTTCCCAAAGCTGTCTTGGCTACAGCCCTTCCAGCCCATCAGACATCCCCTGCCTGTGCGCTCAGGCAGCAGCAAGTCCCGCGGGTCGGGCAGCAATGAAGTGGAGAGGGAGGGCCGGGGCACTGCCACCTTGCCTTGGACTGGGCAAGATAAGGACTCCATAAGATGCTCTTCTACTCTGCTCTCTTCCCACCCAGCCTAAAGGACCCCGATGTTTGCTGTCACACATCGGTCTCACTTAAGGCTGGTGAGACACGTTTTAATTAGAGAAGCAGCATCTGATAATCAGCACTATGCCTGTAGTCCCATGCGAGGGACACAGACTGTGAGGTGCTCAGCCGTGTAACCCAGCCCAAACACCATCCTCCCTCCCCACTGCCTTCCCCTGCCTCACTTTCGCTGAGTAGGGTAGTAGTGGAAATGTCAGAGTAATGGGTAACCTGGCTGGAATGTGCCAGCAGATAAGTGAGGTTAGATAAGGGGGAAAGTCGGAGGAGACAAGGAATGCTGGCTCAGGGGCACACCTGTGCTGCCTTCCCCGTGCCACCACTTTGCATGGTACCGCTCCTGTGGAAGGGCAAGGTACCCCTTCCTCCTGCCCGCTGGCTGCAAGAGCAGCCAAGAGGAATCCGTCAAGCCCATGCCCTGAGGTTCCCAAACCTAACATTTAATTATGCGCTTTTGTGGCACAGAATGCCACATTGCTCGCATCCACGCTTTTCTTCCCCTTCCTCTCTCCCTCCTAAAAACTTGGGTGCAGGAAGAAATGGTGCATTGTGAAGAGATTACGCAACCATTCCCTGAGCAATCACATGGTGTCCTCCTCCTACAGCCCGCTTTGGTCTATGTTCTATCTGTTCAACCCCACATCCTGGTCTGACCTGGAAAAGCACCTGGCGTTATCTGGGAGCTATTTCCATCCAACAAAGGCTCCTTTCCTGTTGGTGGAAAAACCCCTGGGGCTTTGTCAGTGTCATACAGAACCACAGAGCCAGAGATTTCACAGAAGCCAAAGCAGCTGGAGCAAGCCATCTCCCACTGCTTGGGTGTTTATTAGAGCTAGGAAGTGATGCCCATCAGTCCAGCTTGAAGGAGGTGACCCTGAAGCCTCCCTTGACACTCATGTAGCTGACCTTGCTGTAGCAGTGCCGGTTGGGGAACTCCACTGCATGCCCATCTGGTAGTTTCACTTGGAATTTGTCTGCAAGCATTTCAATGATGATCTGGGAGAAAGGAGGGGAGAAGGGACAGGAATTGGGGACAAGGAGGAGATTAGGAGGTAAGCATCCAGGCAAAAGGCCTGACACATGAGGGTCAGACCTGGTCCCTATAGCCTTAAGCAAGGTGCTGGGGTTTGGGCTGAGGGTGATGCAGAAAATGAGAAGTTGATATCAAGGGGTCTGAGCTAGTATCTAGACTATGATCTGGGGACAGGTTCTTTCCTGGGGCTGTTTCAGCTACTCAGACTGTATGAGTTTACAGTTAAACCCCAGTGTGTCTTTATACCACATGGCTTAGATCTGCTCTGAACACGGCAGAATAAACCTGACACCCCAATGCCCTCAGCAGTTCACCAGGACCTAGAAAATGGAGCTTCACTGATAAACACGCACAAGCAGACAGGACAAGAACGCATTGCTGATCATTGCAAACTAAAGAAATTTTCCCCAAAAGCATCACATTGCCAACCTGTCCCCAAGAGCCAGCCATGACTGAGGAAACAACCTTCCTCTCCACAGCAATAGGAACAGGACTGCTCTTAAATGAAGCCCTGTTAATGTCTCAGGACATCAGATGGGGTGAGACAGCAACTAGGACAGCATCCGCAGCAGGAGGACAGGGAGGACAGATTGGCAGTGTGGATCCAGCAGTATTGAGGACAGAAGAGCTGAGGGAGAGGTTTTTGGACATTGCTCCAAACTCTGGGTTACCTTAAAGTCTATGTTTGCATAGGAGGGAATTAGGGAGAGAAATACGGTAGAGAGCAGCAAGATGTCTCTTCTTGGAGACATCCTTTCCTTCATACGTGCCCCTGGTGCACTCACCCACTGGGCAGGTATGGGAGGCAGGAAGCATTTACAAAGCCTGAGACAGTCAGGGCTCATGCAAAGTTCCCAGAGGAAGCAATTGGGTTTTGAAGGAGGAGTGGAAATGGCAATCAGAATCAAAAACCCAGAGGATGAGGATGAGCAGTTGCACAGGAGCAGGAGGCATTGGATGGAAGTGGGAGGACTGAGGTACAGGAATCTGCTAACCAGGGGCTTCCCCCCACCACACACACCCCCCAAAAACCCATGTCATCACAGACTCCTCACCTTGATAGTGGAGCCCTTGGAGAAACAGAGGTGGTCATCATATTGCTCTGCCTGCCAGGCATTGGAGCACTTGGAGTTGCAGACGATGACAGACTTATTGAAGCGGGGATTGAAGTGAAGTGCCAGATCCGAGGAGCTGCAGCCAAGGTTGATGCTGAAGCTGTGGGTGAACAGGAGGAAGGTCAGCTGCACAGGCAGGACAGGGTCTTGGAAGACCTGAGATCCAATACACGGCTCCACACCCAATTCCTCCATCAGCATTGCAGGTGCTTAATGCCTCCTGTTTCCTCTTTCTGTTTGGGAGCCAGGGGAGTTTGCACAGTTGTGGTGTAAGCGCTCCCCTAACACTGAGCTGTGCTCATGCTTTTTGTACCTGGCAACCTCAGAAAACCACCTCCCTCTGCAGCCCAACTTCAGTCCTTTTTTCTTTGTACTTACCTGTCCGCATCATCGGATATCTTGCCTTTGACCTTCAGAGTGTCCCCAGTCTTCATATCCAGGTTGAAGATTTCAAATTTTTCCTAAAGCAGAGAGTAAAATAGTCTGTGGGGCTCCTTCAGCCATTCCTCCCTTGCCACCACAAGTGAGAGGGTGCTGCTTGCAGAAGGTGCCCCAGACAGGAGAACATCTACTGCTCTCAGACAGTGTTCCTCTCATGACCAAAAACCCTCTGTGCTGGAGGTCTTGCATGGCCTTCTCACTCAGTGAGGGAAGAGTGGGCTGAGTGAGCCAGCAAGTGAGAAAAGACATCAGAGGGAGAGATGAAAACAGGCTTGTCCTCAGCAGGAGGAAAGGAGAGAATGACAGCGGAGGTACAAAGAGGGTTAAAGCAGAGGGGCAACACCCAGTGTTTGGTGGGCAGCATCGCCTGCAGCCCAAGAAATGCAAATGGTGAGAGGATGGGTGGCTTTGCTTGCCAGTCCCTCACTCAGCCTTGCTGAGCTGGGGACCCTGGGTGACAGAGGACAGGAGCGACAGCCCTTACAGCCATATTCCTCAGCGAGCGGAGTAACCAGGCAGGGAGCCACCAGCAGTTTAGCTCAGAAAAGCTTCACACAGAGGACCTTACATCCCTAGACTTCCTTGTGGCTTACACATTAACAGCACCCCCGCCTCTGCAAGGCCCCACCAGCTGCTGTTAAGCCAGGAGACTTTGATCCAAAGAAATAGCTTCCCTTATGTACACTTCCTCTCATTAGGGACTTCAGGAGGTTTAACCAACTCCCAGCCTCCTAGGTGGGTTCCCAGTGGAGGGACCACCACACACAGCCCTTAGTGGTGCTACTCTAGCCACCACATAAGGACAAGCATCTTCCCAGCTGGCCACAGAGGTGTGACCACAGTGTTCACTTCTTTTCTGTGTGTAACAGCTCAGCCAAAAGAAGCATCCCAGCTCCTTCCTTTTGTGGCAGGGGGAAGCCCTCAATATCCACACCAGCACACCAAAATGGTCCCCATCACATCCCTCTCCACAGTGCTCTGAGGAAGGGCTCCAAGGGGCTCAGAGGACAGGGCTAACACATCCCCTCTAGATGATACGAGCTATGAACAGCCCTCTACATGAGTGACGAGTGGCATCCCAGCTCCTTCCCTCCTAGTGGCTCTAGATTCAGCCCCACCTGCGTGGATTGCACTAGCAATACCTGGGAGCTCTGCCAGCTCTCCCATCCAAGCTCCATCAAGATCCAAACCTTTTAGCTTGAGGAGCCAAGCACAGCAGGTCCAATAGCCCCATCCTCCATAACCCTGAGACACAGGAATGTTGTCCTCACAAGGGAGCATCACCCCTGCTGTCTCCTTCCCAGGTAGGAGCTATGAGTCAGTAGACAGTATCCCAGGTTTGGCTGAAAAAGATTGGTGCTGTATTCCCAGACTCCAGAAGTCAGTGAGAAAGCCAGAGGAAAGAGGAGGCCAAGGCTCAGGAGACCAGCAGTCCCTCAGCCCCCCACTCCAAGCCCTGCAGAGAGCAGTCATCCTGCTGCTGCACAGCCAGATGGGAGACAGCTTCTTGCCCTTCCCCAAAAGCTCCTGAAACAAGCAGAGGTAAGTGCTGATAAGCACACTCCTTCCCCGGATGTGTTTCCTATTAGCAGGGGGTCATAAAGCCCAGCAGGCTTGGGAAATTTGTTTGCTGTTGAGGTCACTGAAGCTGTTGGTGAAACCTCCCCAAGCTGAGTGTGGAGCCAGCAGGAGCAGGTGCTGGGGATGGTGGTTTCTGGCCCTGGGTCTGTTTCCCATCACACTGCCGCATTCCACCCGCCCACATCTTCATGTCACCTTGCCCCCCCACAGCCATTCCAGGGAGATCCTGGAGTCCCCCTCCCAAAATATCTGAGCATCCCACTGGCTATAAGAGGTTCCTCTTTCCAGCAACTCACATTGTCCCTTTGCAGGGTCAAGGGTAGGCCAAGGACACTGCTTGCATAGCCACCATCAGGGTTAGTTACCTGAATTCACATTGAGAACTCACATTAAGGAGAAACAAACACTTCTAGAGCTCAAGAGATCACATCCCAAGACAGACCCTAAACTCGGTCAGAAAAATTCTGTCCTATGTGGCTGGCCAAAGCAATACGGGAATGTCATGGCAGAGACAAAACTGAGATCCTGGGTCAGCAACATAGAGGAGTCTTCACCCCACTTCCCACAAAGAGCGGCGTGGAGGAGACAGAAACATTGCTCTGACTGGGATTTATCCACCGATCCCACCGGCAGAGCATGACGCTGCCCACGACAGATAGCAGCATGTTCTGAGGGACAGGGAAAACTACCCGTGCGAGAGTTATGTGCAGAGCCGCAAGTACCACGGATGTGAGAACAGGGAGGGAAGACGGGCAGGAAAGAGGCACGAGCTGCTCAGAGAGGGGCCGTGAGATTTTATCAAGATAACATTAACCCCCCTGCTACAACGCTCAGCAGGGGCGTTCACCCCCCTTTTATTTGCCACTGGGAACAATAGTGGGAAACCAGGCAGCAACTCTGCCAGTGCTGGCGACTTCCTTCGTCTGCAAAGCTGAGCCTGCACATGGTCAGACACCAGCCCTGTGCAGACGGCCATGCAGGGGGATGTGTTCCCCACATAGGAAGGGTCTGAGACTTCACGGACCCCAGAAGAGATGAAATCCTCCAGTGCAATTGGAGGTGGCGATTGGGATGATGGAAGGTGAAGGGGACAGGTTGATACTTCCCTGCAGACACTGCAAAGCAGAAAGCCCAAGGAAACAGTGACATGATGGGAATATAAATCCCAAAGAAAGAGGAAATCCAGCTGAAGGGCATCTACAAAGGAGGTGGAGGGTCTGTGCAGAGAAGAAAATATAAGCAATGGTTGTGGAATCCAGCGGTCACTGGTGCAAGTGATCCAGGAATGCTTCACCCTCAGAAAGATGATCCTATAACAGGGTACCTGTCTGGGAGTGCCTCTCCTGGGTCCCATATAGATGTTCATCCTGGCCAGAATGCAGTTGGTCTGTACTGGTGTGGGATGGCCATGTTCACACCACTGGCACCAGAGGAGGCTTTGTTGCGTTCCCAGGGGGTGCCTTGGGACAGCAGAGACCCGACAAGCAGCCACTGGTGTGAGGGTGGAGGCCATGCCCGACCTGAGAGCAAGTCATGCTTCCAACGGGGAGCCAGCAGGCCTGCAATTTTGCATGGAGAAAATGAACAAAAAAAAAGCCTATTTTAAGGAGGGAAGAGACCAATGCAACCACGTGGGCTTTCAGCCAGAAGGGTGGCAGAGCAAGTCCTCTGCCAGAGTGCTTTCACCACATGAAACGTGGCAGCTTAATTTGCAAAGGTCCCATGAGGTAGGTTTTGCAGTTAACAGTCCTTCGTGATCTTCCCTCTAGTCCTGGGGGGATCTCAGGCCACCAGGAGCACCCATGGGAGCTTAGGACCCTCAGGGTTGCTCCAGACAGCAGCACCTCATGTACCATAGCCTAGAGCTGCCACCTCGACCACAAGGCACCCACACAGCTGTTGAGAACAGACTGAATGCCACCCTTCCCAGCAGGCTGCCAAGATCCTCGGCAGCATCATTGCTGGCAGCGGTATTTATTTTGTTTTCTTACTCGGGCAGGAGATAAGTCAGCTAGGTGTGAAGCCTTGAGGAAAAACACAGGCGTCCCCACTTCCCAGCCAAGGTAGCCCAACTGCCCTAGCTGTGAGAGGTTTCTCAGGGCCTTTTGTGGCAGGGGGAAGCCCCCAAAATCCACACCAGCATACCAAAATGGTCCCCACCATCCCTCCCAACAGTGCTCTGAGGAAGGGGTCCAAGGGGCTTGGAGGACAGGGCAGCCAATGCGTCCTCGCTAGATGACATAAGCTACGAATAGTCACTCACAGGAGTGACATGGGTCTTCACCAGATGTGATGCTCAGCCCAGAAGGGAAGAGAGAGAGAAGGGAAGGTAAGGTTTTCATGCCAGTTGCAGGGATGTGTCAAACCATGCCTTGTGAGAAGAGCCAAGAGCTCCTCTTAGCACCCTAACAAAAGGCTGTGGTTTCAGCTTGGCACTAATTAGTAGGACCGAAGGAGGACACTGGGAGGGGAAAAGATGCCTGTCCCATTTTGCACTCAAGGCACCAGGGAGCCTGCGCCGTGCACTGGCATCAGTGTCTGCTCAAGGCAAAGGGAGCTGGAGAGAGCAACCGTGCATTCCTTCTCGGAGTAGCAGCTGCTCACTCTGCTATTATTTCCTACTGCTTCATATAATTTGTACTCCACAGCAAGCTATTGTCCCTTTCCACTGGCTATTTATTTCCTTGAATAGCCTCTGGGGAAGAATTTCAGTGCGGGAGTAAAGAAAAAAGAAAAACTCCACACAATAAATATCAAGCTGTGACCTGATTTAAACCATGTTCTCTGACCTCATCTGGGCCCTGGTTGTGGTTCCTCCCGGCAGTTGCGATTAAGCCACGTTTCTGCCTTGATTTCCCGCTTTTATGAAGCCTGCCTTGGAGGGATGTGAAGTGGATTTCAAGAAGCTGAACCCTGGATTTTCAGAGGCCAGGGCTCAGGACACAACTGAGAAGAGGCTTCCACCACCTCCTAATGGAGATGCTCAGTCCTCCATATGCCAGTCAGAAAATCCCAGATAGGTTTGATGGGACTGGTTTCCCCTTTATTCAAGAGGTGTTGGTTTGCCTCTCAGCAGATAGTGCTGCAACCTTCACCCAACTGATCCCTAAGTTCTGAAAGCCAGCCAGCTTCCTAATGGAGGAGGACCGAGAGAACAAAAAGTACTTACCTCAGCCAAACACTGAGGTAAGCAGGAGACTGGATAAGCAGGTCTGTGGATCTGGGGGTGTGTACAAGAGAGGATTGTCCAAGAGATGCAGGAGAAGCCAAGGCAATGATGAGCACAAGGAAATTGGTCCCCATGAGCATTAACTTCCTGCCTAAGGGGTTAACCAGAGTTGGACGGCTCCTCTGGGAAGGCACTGAAGTCTCCGCATTCGGATCTAAAATGGGAAGGAACAAAGGACTAGTGGTGAACCTCCTGCAACCCCGCATGCCT